GATGACTTCAGGATGACTTCGTTATGACTTCGTGATGACTTCGTGATGACTTCGTGATGACTTCAGGATGTCAGCATGATGACTTTGTGATGACTTTGTGATGACTTCATGCTGAGAGCACCACAGAGGTGTCGTTTGCTTTGAGTGTTGATGAAGTGTAGAGAAGAACAGGAACTGCTCTGTGTCTCTGTGGAAGTAGAGAAAGCTAATGGGATGCCGACTGAGGAGCCGTGGTTCTGTGTGAGTGTAGGGCAGGACAATGAGACAGTGGTGAGATGTGCAGTAGGAGTGACAGATGTGTCCAAGGTGGGGGTGGGTTTACATTAAAAATGAGCTCCTTCTTGTTTACAGCACTGGTGACAAGTCGGCAGCTCAGCCAAGAGTTCCCATTGACCATGATGCTTGCAGGCAACAACTGTAGTGAGAGAAGGGAGCAGGTGGAAGGGAGCCTTGACAGGTGGAGGACTGACAGTCAGTAGAATCAAGACAGGATTTATGTGAATGGGAGGGACATGGATCAAAAGGTGACATCTCACCCGTGTGCAGCCCATAGCTGCAGGAGAAGCTTCCTCCTGCAGCGTGTCATATCTCTGCTCTGCAGCAGAGAAGTGGGCGTGACCGAGAGCCCTGGCAGAGTGCGGTCGGAGGCAGAGGTACTACTTGTACTACTATTCCTACTTGGTGGTTTTTCACTTACTGCGGAGCTTCAAGGTACGGATCCCCGGTGATAAATGAGGGACTACTGCATTTTCTGTTAAAGGGACCAAAATAGTGTAGTTTGAGGACTAAGTTCGAGGGACATGACTGAGATAGTTTGGGCATGTGCAGAGGAGGGACAGTGGATGTACGAGACAAAGAAGGTTGGACATGAAGCAGCCAGAGCGGAGGGACAGAGGACCACAGAGAAGATCCGTGGACGATGTGAAGCAGGATATTCAGAGGTTGGATGTGACCGAGGAGGATGCTGAATTAGATGGAGGTCGATTCACACAGAAAGTTGATCATGTTTGTAAAACGAATGTAAGACGTGTCATGGGTTCATTTAATGCAGCTTTCCTGTTCGTTTAAGGCCACGCCACACCAGGGCGCCTACTCTCGAGAGGAGGAGCTGCTGAGAGAGCGTAAGCGCCTGGGCGCGTTTGGCATCACGTCGTACGACTACCACGCAAAGACCGGCCTCTTCCTGTTCCAAGCCAGCAATAGTCTCTTCTATTGTCAAGATGGCGGCAACAACGGCTTCATCGTGAGTGAATGTTCATTTAGAAAACAGCGTTCACACTTCTCCAAATGTTTTTTTAAATCTATCTACTTCTGCAGGCTTTGTGTTATTTTAACCAGTCACAAGTCAAAACATTGAGATAATTCAGGACAGGCAGCCTGGAGATACACCATGATCTTTAAAAACAATGTTCTTATTGAAATCAGCATACCTGCTCTACTTCTGTCTTCTTCTCCTCGTCCTTCGCCTTCGTTTTTAGCTACTGTTGGGTTTTAAATGGGCTTTTGCTTCGTTTGTATTTTAGCAAACGTTTTGGGAAAAGCAGCAAAAACTAGTTTGATACTTTAACCTAGCCTTTTGTTACTTTTAGCTTTAAGCTAGCTATCTTCTAAAGTTACTGCTTCTCAAACCTTTTAACAACTCACTTCTTGGTTCTTCAGCAAATGTTTTCAGTCTTTATCAGCACACAGGCTGTGTTTCTTCAGAAAATGTTTCAGTGTTTTTATTTTCTTGTTTGTTTTTGAGACCTTCAGCGTGTTAGTGTTCAGAGGAGCTGCATGCTGCAGATGTTTAGAACTGTTGGAGAACGTGCAGTTGCTGTTGCAGCTTCACAGCTTGTTAGACGTGCACTTTTTACCCTGAAACTTAATTTATTTGGGCTTTTTTTTCACCATTTTAAATCAGATTGTTTTTTGTGTTTATATTTTACCATACTGACTTTGTTCAGATCCCTTCACTTGTCTCCTGTCAACACATCCTGTATCAGTAATTGTTTGGAGAGGATGGATAACAGGTGTGACTGCTGGTCAGAGTATAAACCCTCTCTCATGTTCAGGGTGGAGGGGTGTTGCACTAAACATTAATATGAAAACGACCTCTTAAAATTAATTTTATGTGTTACAGTATTTGTCTTCCCCGTGGTTCTGTAGTACAAACTACTTAAGGCAGTATTTTAGAAACTCTACCAGGTGATTTATACTTGTAGTTTGGAGATTTTCTTCCAAATAGAACAAGATATTAATTCATCAGCGTGGAGTCAGTTTCATGCACTTTGCCTCTGACTGAGATCTCATGCTGTTTTCAGCAGTCGGCTCCTGTAAAGCCTGTGGAGATAAAGAGCCAGTGCTCAGGAACACGCATGGACCCCAAGATCTGCCCCGGACACCCCGATTTTATAGCCTTCATCAACAACAACGACCTGTGGGTTGCCAACATTAAAACGGGCGAGGAAAGGAGACTCACATACTGTCATAAAGGTGTGAAGGTTTTACGTTTTAAACATCTGCATTGATTTGATACAGGAAGTGTCAAAGTTTCACTGTTTTAATCAGAACGTCAGTCTACGTGATGCAAAGGAAACCCTGTTGAGATGATCTGTCAAATGATTGAACTCTCATGAACTCTACTGTCATCCATTTTTCTTCTGTGCATTTTTCAGCATCTTTCTCATTCCACAATTTTTGTGCCATTTCAACAAAATCAAAACGTTCAGGTCAATCCTGCTCTGACTTTTGGTATTGGTGCAGCTTTAGCTTTTTGAAATATTTAGCCTTTTCTGACACTTTTAGTCTCATAGAAAACAAACTGAGCTCATTTTACATCGTTCAAATCTTTAGATGTGTTTACAACCTTTTACTGCTCCTTTCACATTTTGTTCTGCTTCAGCTTCTTTCAGCTTCCTTAAACAATTGTAAACATTTTTCAGCTATTTTCAACTAATTTCAGCTGTTCTGCACTTCTTTCTGATTCTTTCTGATAACTACTTTTTGTGCTTCTTCTAACTTCTTTCTGCTAATTTCAGCTTCTTGCGCTCCTTTCAGCTGATTTCTGCAAGTTTCAGCTTTTTCTGATATTTCAGCTACTATTTAGCTGTTTTGTACTAATTTTAGCTTTTTGGAGTGGTGGCGCAGAGGTTAGAGAAGGCGGGCCTGTGATTGTAAGATTGCCTGTTCAACTCCCTGTACCGACAACATCAAAAATGTGGGTGGAAAAGGTGAAACACCCACACCTGCCTCCACCCCCTTGGTCCCACCCTTGAGCAAGGCTCTGAACCCCCACCATCTGCTCCTCCGGGTGTCTTTCTAGATGGCAGCTCTCTGCTCCACTCAGAGGGCTGTGGTTGCATCAGGAAGGACATCCATTGTAAAAATAATCGCCATGTCTTCAAGCGAGTTAGTTCACTGTGGCGACCCCTGAAGAAGGGAGCAGCCGAAAGAAGAAGAAAAAAGCAAATTTTAGCTTTTTCAGCTAATGCCAAATTTTTGCAATCATTTCAACTTTTTTCAGCCCAATTCAGCAAAATATGCTCTCTCTACTTCCTTCTGGTAACATAAACTTCTTTCTGCCTTTTTTTTACTTTTCAGCTGTTTGTTTGCTAATTTCAGATTTTTTTCAGATAATTTTCCTTTTTATATGATAATTTCTGCTTCTTTGAGCCTAATTGGGCAAACATGTTCTTTCTGCTTTCTTCTGCTAATTTTAAGTTTGTTCTAATTTTTCAACTATACCTCTTTAGCATTTTTAGCTAATTTCATCTTTTTTCAGATAAATTTAAGTTTTTCATGTTAATTTCTGCTACTTTCAGCCCAATTAACTTCTTTATGCTAATTTCAGCTTGTTATGCTCCTTTCAGCTTTTTTTGCTCTTTCAGCTAGTATTTAGCGCTTTTGATGCTCATCTTAGCTTTTTCAGCTAATTCCACATTTTTTTAATCTCACCCGTTTTTTCCGCTTACTTCTGGTAGTTGAAGTTTCTCTCTGCCTATTCAGCTGTTTTTTCTAATTCCAGCTTTTTTTAGCTGATTTCCTCATTTTCATGCTAATTTCTACTTATTTAAACCCATTTCAGCAAATATGTATTTGTTCTGCTTTCTTCTGCTAATTTAGGTTTGTTCCTCCATTTCAGCTACATTTCAGAATGTATTTGAGCTCATTTCAGCTGTTTTTCAGCAAGTTCTTCTGCACTAAACATTCACACTGCGTTTTCACAGGAAATGCAGTTGGTCTCGTGTGAACTTGTGTTAAATGCATTTCCTTCAGGTTCAGACAACGTTAAAGACGACCCAAAGTCTGCAGGCGTAGCCACGTTTGTCATCCAGGAAGAGTTTGATCGTTTTACTGGTTACTGGTGGAGTCCCTCAGCAGCAGAAGGTCAGCAGCTAGCTCCAAACTCGAGTCCTTTATGTCTTTAAAGAACACAGCTTAAGTCATAAGTGTCTTTCTGCCTGCGTACATTGTTGCTGTGTTAAAAACATTCTCAAATACCAAAATGTTCCTTCAGGCCCAGATGAAGGTAAAACAATGTACCTTCTGTATGAAGAGGTGGATGAGACGGAAGTGGAAATTATTCATGTTCCATCTCCTGCCCTGGAGGAGAGGAAGGCAGATGCGTACAGATACCCTCGTACAGGTGAGTGCAGGGGTTCACTTTGATCTGTGCACCTGGCCCAGACACCAAACAGCAACTTGGACACCAACAGAAATGAAACGGCCCTTTGTGGTAGATAAAACAAGTATGTCTGATTTAAGTTCATGAACTAATCAGAATGGACAGAAACGCTGTTTTCTTCCTAAATGTGCACTAATGAACAAACAAAAAGCACCATCATGTTCGACTGCTGGTAAAAATGGGTGGGCACACTGAGCAGGTGATTTTAAGATCAGTTTTTCTTTCAGCCACTTGAATGCAGCAAAGCTGCTGGTGTTTATCTGATTTGTATCAAAAAGAAACGAGTGGACTGTTTGAAGGAACCACAGCATTGGTTAGGAAAGAAATAAAAAAGGCAAAAAACGAGTGAGATCTAAAACTGGTGCCCAGTGCCCACACTTTTACAAACGGGCTGAGGGGTCTGGGGGTCCTCTCCCAGAAAATTTTTAATAAAGTAGATGCGATTTCCTGCATTTTGGTGTAACGGATTGTTAAACATCTATGTTTACCTACATTTGAAAACACTTTGCTTCTGTCAAGACCTACCCCCCCCCCCCCACCTCTTACGTGACGGTTCCGAGCAGACTCTTCCGCTGAATTCACTGTCCTACTCGTTGTTGTCCGACTCCACATGTGAAACCTCCAGGCGCCTCCTCCATCTGTTCATGGTGGCTGCCCGTGAGCTCCTGCTCGCGTACGCTTGGTTAGCTCGACACCCCCGCCACTCTTTTAGGGGCGGAGATTTTTTTAAGAGTTGAGGTGGAAATGCTGCTTGGAGAGGCAGCTCGTATGTGATGTTAAGAAGCTCGGCTGTTGTGTTTAAAATGAGTGTTTATGTAATTATTTTCAGATTACGTATCCAATATAGGTTTTATTCATTCAAGGCAGTCCCATTTGTTCATAACTTTATTATTATTAAGCCTGAGAGTTACTTGATCCAAGCAAACGCTTACCGGAACATACCCTGTCAAAATAAGAGCGTTCCTGGATCCTGTTCCTGCAGGATCTGACTTAAATTAAGCATTTATTATAACTGTTAGTGCTGAAAAACTTTGGACTGCAGCTGCCTCTAGTGCTCATTTGCAACTTCACATGTTCAAAAATCTCCAGTCTGAGACCTGGATTCAGAAACCTTCAGTTTCAGAGAGAATGAGGGCCGTTGTTGGTAAATGAACGGCCGAACGGTTCACGTCGTATAAACGGGGCCTCAGACTGGCTGGCTGTCAATCAAGAGACAAATTTCATGGTTGGACGATCGGCTGACATCTATTAATGTCATGTGATTTACCCATAATTCCTTTGAGATCAACGGGTAATTTGCGATCGACGTATTGGGCACCCCTGGTTTAGAGGTTTTGGTTGGCATTCACAGCCAGAAGAGGGTTCAGTGTTGAGTTTAGGGTTAAATACGTCAAGAAGGGACAACTTTTTCAAGTAAGAATAAACAAGCTGTTTGTGCATCAGGCTGTATTTATTTTCTTTGTTGTGCTGTTAGAGTTGCATCACTGCGGTGGGTTGTGTTGGGCAGTGACGTGCGATGAGCCTTGTGACAGGTGAGACACTGACTGTCTGGAATCGGATGCTCATATATGAACCCAAAATAGAAGTTTATATTTCAATTTAGCCTTTTTTTGTCTTTTAAAAAGGCATCTAATTATGCTTTAATCAACTCCATACTCCTTTCTTTTTAAATAAAAACAAAACAAGTGTATTCTCTTACCTTTATTTTAAGATGAATGAGTTTAGAAAAATTCTTTAGTTTTGAGACATGATCTCCCCCCCTGCTTCTCTGCGTAACAGCGACATGTCATTGTCCCTATGGGGCAGCACTGCCACCTATCGGTGCGGCAAGGTACTTTCTGCCTCACCCTGTGTATTTTGACCGTACATTTATGATCGATTAGAACGAAGAAATATGTCAATATGTCACACACATTCATTCAAAATATGAGACAGACTGTAGAACATCAACATGTGCAGCACATGTGCAATCCAACATGTTTACTGGTGATATAAAGAGACAGCAGTGGGAATGCTCCAACCACCTCCTTCATATATTGTCACTGTTTCCCCTAGTTAACTTGCCATGGGGTGTGTGTGTGTGTGCTCATCTCATCTATGATTTTTGTTGACCGGGGGGGGGACGGAGGCTTGTCTGAGCGCAGCTTGTACTAACAGTTTTTGAGCGGGGGCAGGGGGCGTTCAGCATGAGGGAAGAGACAACGTGAGTGCTGCCTTTAGCTTTTTAGCTAGAGAGCCTGTATTTCGCGCCGCTAGCTTAGTGCTATGTCAGTGCCGGACGGGGGTGGGGGGGGGGGGGGGGGACGAGTTCAGTTTGGTAGGAGGGGTGCTCTCAGTTCTGTTGACGGGGTGGGACACCCCGCTTGTATAATGGTAAGGAAAACACTGATTGTGTATGACACAGCACCCCCAGAGGTGAACCAGAGCACTACACTGCCTCGCCCCACATTGTTTGAAGAGGCGATGTGTAAATGCTGTGATTTTGACCATTGAAGTGTTGAAATAATTCAGAAAACAGTTTTATAAAATGGTTTTATAGAACAGTCAGTGGTCAAATGTATTTTCTCTTATCATTGTTAGTATTTTACTTGTCATCATGACACTGTCTCACCTGTCATCATGACACTGTCTCACCTGCCATCATGACACTGCCTCACCTGTCACTGGTGCTGGGTTGTTTTAAGTTCAGTGGATATTAGATTTTTCTGTTCTGGATGAAGACGTCACCCTCGCATATTTTCCACCCATCTTAGAAATCTGTGTTTACACTGAGATGACCAAGTTGTGGTTGTGACCTCCTGGTGTGTCAGTAACGTGGTTGGCTTGTCTCTTTGTGTGGATTTCACATTACTTGAGTCAGGAAACAAACTGTGCTTTATGATGATTGTGGTTACTGCTCTAGGTGATGACTGGTTAAACGTCACTACTCATTCTGTTGGCTCAGTTGTTGCATAAAGAACTGGGATTCTTTAGGCATCTCGTAATTTAATTTGATTACATTTCATAAGGCGGTGATTTGATTATAAAAAAGATTTGTGAATACAAAGAAGTAGATTTATGATTATTTAAAACACTGTGAAGCTAAAACACAAAGACAGAAATACAGATTAATCTGTCTGTTTTACATAAATAAACACTGATTATATAGTTTATTGCTGAGTATAGAGTGCACATTAACATATGCCCAAAAACTGTGAATGCCAGGCTCCTGACCAAAACTAGCATAGATGCTAACTTAACATTGAAAATGCCATAGCAAAGCTAACATAATTCATGTTGTGTTCATCACCAAAAACTTCTACACAAATCCAGTTTTTCAAAGTCATTAATAAAGCCTGTAATGTTATGATAATAGAGACATAATTTTCTCGGAGTCCAGTGAAAAGAAGTTGTAAAAACACACGGCAGCTATGGCAGCTGAGCTGGGACAAACAGCTGTGCAGCACAAACTGCTCACTCTTCAAGTAACAGTGCAGATTAATGTTAACAAAATCAATTCTTTACTTTGTAAAATCAAATCAGAATCATTTCTGTGATGCAGCTAAAATAGGTTTTAACCCCTTCCTTAGCATTTTAACATTTGTTTTTCATAATTTATAGGCAGCAAAAACCCCCAGGCTACCCTTAAGATATCAGAAATTAAGACAGATCATCAAGGAAGAGTAAGTTTCCATTTATTTATTTTCCTTTATTGGTAATTTTTCCACGTAATTTCACTAATCTGTGTGTGTGTGCACAGATTGTAAGTATACAAGATAAAGAGCTGGTCATCCCCTTCAGCTCTTTGTTTCCTGGAACAGAATACATTACCAGAGCAGGGTGGACGAGCGATGGAAAATAGTGAGTGCTCTTGAAATCATTTTGAAAATCTTTCTCTTGTGATGCTGGAAGGAAAATACTTTATGATGAATGGACTTTTAGTGTTCTGATCGTGTCCACTCTGTTCTAGTGGTTGGGCAGTTCTGTTGGATCGCAGTCAGAGGAAACTGCAGCTGGTCCTGCTGCCTCCAGCCCTCTTTATTCCTGTCTCAGATGACCCGGCTCTGAGGCAGGAGTGTCTGGAGGCCGTGCCCAGTAGCACACAACCCTACATTATCTACGAGGAGACCACAGACATCTGGATAAATGTAAATCATTTGTCTGTGACATCTCTTTATGCTTTCCTTCAAATAAAATGTGAAACTTGTTTAGTAAATAATTGAAACGTTGATTGTTTCCCTTCTGCGCAGGTTCATGATATTTTCTATCCCTTTATTCAAACAACAGAAGATGAGTTTACTTTCATTTGGGTGAATGAGTCTAAAACAGGTTTCAGCCACTTGTATAAAATCACATCATTGCTACAGCCAGGCTGCCACCGCTGGACAGAGGGCTACCGTCACGTCGAGGGTAAGGAATGACCAGATGTTGTTGCATTTGTGTGAAAACAATTCAGGTATAACTGCAGGTATACAGTTTATAGCTTAGAATATATTTTCTCTCATCTGCCAGGGGATGTCATGAAGTATGGGATCTGTTTTCTCTTCTTGCAGGAAACTTTAAATGTGCAATCAAAGTGGAGGTTACACTGACCTGTGGAGAATGGGAGGTTCTGGCAAGACACGGTTCCAAGGTAAGAAAACGAGTCTGCTGGAGAACTCATAGATGGCCTGTATGAAAACTTTACAGGTGGTTAGAGGGCAGTGAGAAGTACTGAGCCAATCTCAAACCAGTGCTGTGGTGGGAAAGCGAGTTGTGAGCTTGACATGGAAGATGTTTACAACTACAGTCAGTAAAGTAAGTCCAACCTCGAAGTCCGAAGTTGGGCGGAATGCACGAAGCTGTGGCTATAAATAATTAGCGCGGCCTTCTTATTCTTATTCAGAATAATATTTTGCTTAGATGAGAAAAGGAAAGAAAACATGAGGAGAGACGGTATAAAAAAAAGATCTGGGACAATAAAAAAGATTGGGACAATAAAAAATAACGATGGTACTGAAAATTACTAAAAGTATCAAAAGAAAAACATAGAAACACAGAGCAATAAAATAATAAATCGAGTCACACTGTGTAACAACTCAGAGAAAACCAGTGTTTTTAGCTGAGTTTTTAAAACAGGAAGTGAAGTGGCTTGTCTGATGTTGGGGGACAGATTCTTCCAAAGTTTAGGGCCCACGACTGAAAAAGCCCGATCTCCTCTTGAATTTCAGTCTTGTTTTTGGAACAGCCAAAAGCAGCTGATCAGATGATCTCAGGGCCAGAGAAGGAACATATGGTTCCAGCAGCTCAGAAAGATATGAGGTGCAAGGCCATTTATGCACTTAAAGGTTAACAGAAGAGTTTTAAAATCAATTCTTACACATACAGGAAGGAGCCAGTGAAGGGAGGACAAAACTGGTGAAATATGATCAAACCTACGAGTTCCTGTTAATAGCTGAGCTGGACAAGCTGGAGACGTGACATGGAGACCTGACTGACCCCAACATAGAGTGCATTACAGTAGTTCAGTCAAGTAGTAGTGAAGGCATGGACTAGTTTTTCAAGGTCAGATCTGGTCACCACTGACTTAAGCTCAGCTATCTACATTAACTGGAAGAAGATTTTCTTCAGAACAGAGTTGATTTGTTTATTGAACTTAAAGTCAGAGTCTAAAACCAACATGAGAGTAGTAACAGACCACTTAAGATATGACTGAAGGGATTCCAGGCTTACACGATCAGAGGCGGCGGTAGAACTGTTGATCGATTCTCCCAGTATACGTACTGGTGAGGGTCCTTGTTGATGTTGATAGTTGTTTTGATGTGGGTCATGACCAGTTTTTCGAAGCATTTAGTGACTATTGGGGTGAGGGCTACTGGCCGATAGTCATTCAGACCAGTCACTGTAGAGCTCGTTGGGACTGGGATGATGGTGGTGGTCTTCAGGCAGGTGGGAACTGTTGCCAGGGTCAGGGAGGAGTTAAAGATGTCGGCCAGTATCTCACAGAGCTGATCAGCACAGTCTTTCAGCACCTTCCCAGGGATGTTGTCTGGGCCAGTTGTTTTGTGAAGATTAATCCTCCTGAAAGTACTCCTTACTTCTGCTGAGATCACGCTGAGAAACTCTTCTTCCGGTGGTGAGGTGAGTCTGGTGCTGGGTGAGTCTGGTGCTGGGTGAGTCTGGTGCTGGGTGAGTCTGGTGCTGGGTGGTCTGTTCGGGCCTTCAAAGCATGCGTAGCACCTGTTGAGGGCATCAGGCAGTGATGGGTCTCTCTCTCTAAGCTAATCAGATCCACGCTATACCTAGTCCCACAGCAGGTTTACAAGTGGTGCACTGGTCACATAAACAATCTTCTTAATGTGCGCTCACATTTTCTATCCTCCACTATTCACCATAAAGTTATCGTGTGTGTTACATAAATATAAATTAAACAAAGAAACACCTGTTCATTTAGACAGTCATGTATGATGGAGGTCTAATTGATATTGACCACAGCAGAGTTTATTTTTCGTTGCAGAGAAGTTAAGATTTCAGACAAACGATGCATTTCATTGAGGATGACAAACGTTACAAACACTGGATGTCCTCACAAAGCTCAATCCGACAGGACTGGTATCTATAACTACTGACAACGGGGCTAATGTCTGAAGGTGGTGCAACTGAGCACTAACGTTGGCTTACTCACTTGAGAGGCACGTAGCTAATGACAAGCGAGTTGGATTGAAGAGAATTTATTATTGTTGATTTGTTTTAATTTTACAGGTCAGTTAAAATAAACGTATCATGCTCTGTATTGCTCCCTGCTTCGTCTGGACTGAAAGTGAAACTTAAAATGAACGGCAGTGACTGAGGTAGTCTTCAGGCGCCCTCTGCTGGATACATTCTACAATTACGGCTGGTTCCAGCATTTTAGGGGTGAAATTTAGAAGTGTTTATCGTTGAATAATGAGACGATTATCACAGATACGATAGGTCCCGAAGTGTCTATATCGACCTAAAATATCTGCCGTACTGATGTATCGGTCGGACTCTTGTTTTGAAGAACCTTAAGTGACCAACAAAACAATGCATGTTTTGAGTCCGTCCAGAGGACCAGACTTAACTTTGTTAGATGTTTCTATCTGAATTATTGAGCATGAATCAGGATAGAACAATGCATGATGCCTTCAAGTGCACTCAGTAACCTTATAGTTCACACTTAAGATGGGTATCTACAAGAGTCAAATGTGGAAATAAATCTGTTGTTTCACATACAAGTGTTATGAACTACAGCAATATTTAATTTGAAACTTGAATTATAATTGTCATTGTTTTGCAGCTAAAGTTAGGTTTTATTTTTTGTTTTCTTTACCACAAAGACAGAAACTATCTAAAATTGATTGCTAAATGAAATAAACTTTTTACTTTTTTTTTTTATATTCAAAATGTACGGTAATTAGAAACCTGTAAAATAAGCATTTCCTTTTCCTATCATAATAAACTTGATGTATTAACGGTTTCTTTTAATAAAACTTGAGGCTTATTTATGTTGGTGTCGGCTGTAAAATGTTTTGTAGAAGGTGTGATGAGTTTGTGAACATTTTTGTGTAGATCTGGGTGAACGAGGAAACAAAGCTGGTGTTCTTCCAAGGCACCAGAGACACACCTTTGGAGCACCACCTGTACGTGGTCAGCTACGAGTCACCTGGAGACGTGATCAGATTGACCAAGCCTGGTTTCTCTCACAGCTGCTGTGTTAGTCAGGTACTACATTCACATCTTCTTTCATTTCTAACTTTCATCAGTCCAGCGAGATGTTTCTGGTCCTTGGCGAAGCAAGTGGGCACAATTTGTTACGAAACCAAAAAGCAGAATAATATAACTGTGATTGCTGAGCGACAGTTATTTGTAGCGTTGTTTAAAAACTACATTTGGGGGGGAGAGCCCATCCTTCTGGCGGGCAAACTGCTTCAGCTTTTACTTCAGGATTAACACTGCAAAAATGAAGATGTGTATTTTTTCCGTTAAAGGAACTACACAGTGTTTCTAATTATGATTAAAACTCATGCTTGGCTGGAGTAAAACCTGACTCCAGTCAAAGGGGGTGGCACGGTGACACAGTTGGAAGTCACCTCTTATCAATAAGATTGCCGGATCAAATCCCAGTTTGCCTGTTCTCTCTGAGTATGTGGATTCTCCGGTGTTCTTGCTTTTTTTTTTCCTTTTTCATCTTTCGGCTGCTCCTTCTTCAGGGTCGCCACAGTGAACTAACTCACACGAAGACTTGGCGATTGGTTTTATGATGGATGTCCTTCCTGACACAACCACAGACCACCGAGCTACCACAGCCCTCTGTGTGGAACAGAGAGCTCCTATCTAGGGTGCCTGGGGGAGCAGATGGTGGGGGTTAAGGGCCTTGCTCAAGGGCCCAGGGCAGGGCAAATGAGGGTGGAGGCAGATGTTCACCTTTCCCACCCACTTTTTTGATGTTGTCAGTCCAGGGACAGTTGCATTCGGGCCCAAAAAATCTGACTCAACTCGACTCCAGCCCGTAGCCATCATTTCCAAACCCCACCCGACCTGACAAATTAACAGTAATTACAGGTCTGAACCCGAAATAAAACAGACGGTTTTAATTGACCTTTGACTGCTTATATGGTCATTAACGTTCGGCGGATACGCACAGCTGAGGAAAGGGGCAGAAGATCAGAGCTGAGGGGGTGTTTGTCCTTTCATGGCCATCTAAGCACATTAAATCCCTGCTTCTGCTGCATTCTGCATTATTCAGACACGGAGCTGCTCTGACATGGATGTTGTGATCTCACCTGTTTGGTTCGTCGGCTGCATGCGTTCACTGAGTGCAGCGGCTGAATGAACGGCCATTTGGGCTGATGGATCGTTGGCAGTAGTCCATCTGCAGCTTAACTGAACTTTTTACCTCTGTCGAGGTGGGTCAGCGCACGGTCAAATGGCTGTGTGCGGCTGGTGATAGTATGGCAAGCCATGTTGCCATATATTATGGCCCAACCCAGCCCTACTCCGGGTCGGGCTCGGGCTCCGGGTTAGAAATGACAGCTCTAAGTCCAATGAATTGAACTGGTGACCTTCCGATCTCAGACTCACCTTCTCTAGCGAGTGAGGTGAGCATAGTTGTTTGTCTTGCTTGTCTCCATGTGGTCCTGTGATGGACCTGTGCAGGGTGTACAGTGCCATGGGCACCAGTGACCCTTATGACCTGAAAAGGAAGAAGTGGGTAAAGATGATGGATGGATGGATGTAGTCAAAGGATGCGGTTGTTCAGTGTCTGTGAATGAAAGTTCTTTAAATGGACATCATGCCGTTTGTTTTTTTTAAAACAAAACTCTTAGGTATGTGATGTAACATCCTCTTTTTTTTTTTTTTCCTTCAGTTCTTTTGTTTCTTACCTTTTGGCACTATCATTGTCCTAGATATTACCTTTGTAACCATTAGTTTTGCTGCCTGTCTTTTTCACCCTGCAGAACTTTGACTTTTTTGTGAGCCACTACAGTAACGTGAGCACCCCTCCCTGTGTCCATTTGTACAAACTGAGCAGCTCAGAAGACGACCCACTCCACATGGTCCCCGAGTTCTGGGCTAGTCTCATGGAGTCACCAGGTAAACAACACATCATGGTGACAACACTGGTCACTCACCCTAAAAGATACAACAAGACAGAGAATACCTAACAGCAGCCAAATCTGTAGACAAACCTTTAAAAGTTTGTCATTATAAGATGTGAAAAAATAAAGAACTTATTTAAACTTTTTGAATGCCCGTCGAGGTCAGATGTATTATGGTGCAGTCTCTGTACGTACGTATGTAAACTTTCTCTGGTCCTGCCCATAATTTCTGATCTGCTCAAGATAATTTAATGAAACTTGTTACACATATGCAGCATCACTAGTTGAAGCGTCCCGTGCATCACTCCAGCTTCAAGGTCAAGGTCACAAATCAAGGTCAAACGTTATGCAAGTGTTTGCTTCCGTGGACCATTGCTGTACAATAGTTAAACACACGTATAATGTGTGTACTCTAGTCTGATTAAATGTTTTGGGGCATAATATTCTCTGGTAATCAGGTTTCAACTTAATTTTACAGCAGTTGACAATTCAGATTTATAGCTGTAATTTTTTTTAAATTGAGATGTTCTAAAAAAAATTCTGTGATACAATGTACTTTTATGTTTTCATATGTGCCAAAAGATGTATACATGTTTGAAAGCCCTTATCTGTTTTACAAAGAAAATGTTCTGTCATTCTTTTTGAGTTTGGCTTTATGAGTACAAATACAGATGTTGATTAAATTGTTGGTGTCCTTGCACAATAATAAGAACAAATGGTAAATGGACAGCACCTTTCTGTCAAATCAATATACTCAAAGCACTTTACAACACAATCACTGTCCTCATTCATACAGCACTCTGCTGGATCTATACAAAGACTAATCAGAGCTTTATCACATTCATACACCAAGGGGACACATCAGAGGCAACGAGTGTTCAGTGTCTTGCCCAGGGACACTTCAGCATGTAACTGCTGGTGGAATCAAACCCCCAACTCTCCCATGGAGGATGACTGCTCTAACCACTCCGCTACAGCCGCCTCAAAACTCAAATCACAGATGATGTGACAGGAGCCAGAAAGATTTTGTTTTGTCTCTTTTTTTTTTCGTTTAGTCTTTATTCATGCAGGTAGTCTCATTGAGCCACGAGAACTCATTTTCAAGAGAGACCTGTTTAGGAGCAGATGGTGGGGGTTAAGGGCCTTGCTCAGGGGCCCAGAGGGGGCAAATGAGGGTGGAGGGAGGTGTGGGTATTCCACGTTTTCCACCCATATTTTTTTTTATGTTGACGATACCGGGAGGTGAACCTGCGACTTTCTGATCACAGGTCCATCTTCTAACCTGAGTTTCCTCTGCAGGGCAGCTGGACTCTCCGTTAAAGGTAGGGTGAGAAGTTCAGTTATCAGGAGAGACTCGGAGTAGAACCACTGCTCCTCCACATTGAGAGGAGCCAGTTGAGGTGGTTCAGGCATCTGGTAAGGATGCTCCCTGGGCGCCGCCCTATGGAGGTGCAAAAGGCATGTCTGACTGGGAGGAGACCCTGGACACACTGGAGAGACTACGTCTCTTTGTAGACCTGGGAACACCTTGGAGTCCTCCCAGAAGAGCTGGAAGAGGTGGCTGTGGAGAGATGTCTGGACCTCCCTGCTCAAGCTGCTGCCCCGAGACCCGACTTCAAAATAAACAAGATAATGGATGGATGGATGGATGGATGGATGGAATATGATGGATGTTGCGATCAGAAAGTGACGTACCTTGACCTTTGAGTTCACCTTGAATGGTTTTCAGTGGATTCTTTGGCTCTTTTTCTACCATCCACACTTTCCCTCTAATCAACCTGGAGTTGCAGTTTCTGTTGCGTTCACATCCTGGAGCTTGGCCTCCGTCCCATGACCTGTTCTTTTTAATAATACAGGCTGCTGTAGTCAGAGGAACATGAAGGAGCTTGAAGATGGTCCTGTAACACTTACCTTTAACATGGAGATTGATCATCTTCAGCGCTTTGCGTTCTCTGCTCCGTGTTCAGTGCAGTGCACACAACCATAATACATTTAAAGCTTGAAGTCCACGCTCCAGTTTTGAATGAAGAAAGCTCCTTGGGTGAATTACTGTTCTTAAATTATCTGGGTAGATTTTAATGTCCTGGTTCACTGAATCCACCACTACACGACAGTACCAAACTATCCAGTGATATGATCTGTCATTGTCAGGTCAAATATAGCCCCCCCACCCCCCATGACAGAAACCTCCACTGGGCTCCACTATTGATTGGACACATTTTTAAAGTTCAGGAGCTGTATCACAACAAAGTCATGGCATTGCAAGGTGTTGAATCGAGATGTAAAGAACAGATAAAATATTTGATCGCTAATATTTGCAGGATTCTTGTGTCAGTAGTATTTTACAGGAAAACCATGTTTCAGTATAAATTTTGTTTAAACAAAATACATGAACTCGACTGCAGTGGTTGTGTAAATTACCTATATTAGTGACTTGTCCTAAAACTCTTTGTAATTTCAGCTCTCGGTGGATTAGCTGCAGTACACGGTTAACCAGTGTTCCTGTGTGGTAACGTCTTTCAGGTTGCCCCGGAGATTACAATCCTCCAGAGATTTTTGACTTTCCAGGGAAGTCTGGCTTCCAGCTGTATGGGATGGTGTACAAGCCTCACAGCCTGCAGCCTGGCAGGAAACACCCCACGGTCCTCTTTGTGTACGGGGGTCCACAGGTTTGTCCGTTGTGGCCGTGCATGTTGTTTCTGTGCCCCGTGAGGTGGCATCTCACTGGGCCATGACTTGTTGAGTAGTCACGATAGAGTCTCTGCAACATTCAGGGTGGTTCTTATTGTCCTTGTGAGCCGCAGAGGCACGTCTTGTTGTTTGAGTTGTGAACCTGTTGCGGTCGTTGCAAACGCTTCTGAAGTTAGTCATGAGCGCCTGCAACCCTGCTCAAGGCTGTATTTGGACACTTGCACTCTGTCCAGCTCTAAAAACCACTCTGGTGATAAATAATAAAAAAACTGGTTCAAATCTGGTGGCACGGTGGCTCAGTTGGTACAGCTGCTGCCTCTCAGTGAGCAGGTTGCCTGGTTCAAATCCCAACCGGGGCCTTTCTGGGTGGAGTTTGCTTTTCTCTCTGTGCATGTGTGGGTTTTCTCCAGGTACTCCGGTTTCCTCCCACAGATCAAAAACATGCATGTTAGGCTGATTGGTAACTCTAAATTGTCTTTAGGTGAGCGTGAGAGAGAGAATGGTTTTTTGTCTCTTGTGTGTCCCTGTGATGGACTGGAGACCTGTCCAGGGTGTCTCCTGTCTCTCGCACAGTGACTGCTGGATATGGACACCAGTGACCCCTGCGACCTGAAAAGGAAGAAGCTGGTAAACTCAGATTTCAGCACGACTTCAACAAAAACCTTTTTTTTTCCATATTTTTGTAAGTTTGAGTGTTCAGCAGTCAGTCCAGTGAGATTCTACCTCTAAGATTTAAACTCATAAATGAGTTCAGTGACTTGTGTTTTGATGCACTGTCTGTTTTTGAATGTAGGTGCAGCTGGTTAACAACTCCTTTAAGGGGATGAAGTACCTCCGACTCAACACTCTGGCCGCTCTTGGATATGCTGTGGTCATCATTGATGGGAGGGGTTCCTGTCAGAGGGGGCTCGAGTTCGAGGGAGCACTAAAAAACAAAATGGTAGAGTCGGAAACAGAAAATAAATCATGTGTTTGTAAAAATAGTTCAACGTATGGATGCGCTGATACCACACTTTTTCAAACGGCACCAGTACGAGTATTCACAAACACCATGACAAATCTTCCAATTAGTAAAACATCTAGTTACAAAATGAATCTGTTCCATCACACAGTTTATATGAAGAAAAATTACTGTATTTTTTGGCCTATAAGTCACTTTTTTTGCATAATTTACATGCCCTGCTACTTAAACACTGCAGCGACATATTTATGGATTATTTCCCATATTTATAAACCAGTTTTTGGCTGAGATGACTGTTTTCATTCATTCAGACTGAAAATATTAAACACTACCATTTTCAGCCACTAGATGGCACTCAAATAGTGTGGCATGCTGTTGTGTCATGTAATAGGTAAAAGTGGCTATTAATGACACAGTTGGCTTGCCATATACTGCCGCCTTCGTCCAGCTCGCCTGCAGCAACCATCAAATCATCTTCATTTCGCTGCACCGCCCCGGAGAAATGCAGCTCCTTTGACCATTGAAGTGCATTTATTAAGTAAAAGTTCAACTGAGACTCACCTTTACTATAAAGTCGAGTAAACAAACAATTGTTTTTAAGTGTTAATCTTGTTAAATTCTTAAAGTCCTCCCGTGCACGCCCCCACAGCCACCATTTGGCAGCCAATTGATTTTTGGCGCAACACCGGCCCACGTTTCCGGGTTGTCAGCGGTGACGCGTCATAGATGCAACTTAAAACTGCGAAGCAACGTATTTATGTTTTTTCCACTTTATTAGAAATATTTGGACTGATGTGACTTATAGGGCGGTATGACGTGTACGACAGAATATACGGTATTTGAACATATTTTTCCTGTAAAAATAATGAAAATAAAGTAATTTATTCCAGTGCCACCCCACACCCCTCCAAAAAAATCCATGTTTAACGACCATCATCACGGTCATTCTCAGCACAAGAGGCACAGCAGCTTTGCTCAACAATAATAAGAAAACAAGACAATAGACAGATTATTATGTTTTATGTCTTCATCTTGCTGCCAAGGACTGAGAGACTGGAAAGGAAACTTGGGCTCAGGACCTTCTTTTGCGCAGCTGTTGACTTTGAAATGCCTCCACGAGATATGTTCTGCTTCTGCTCGTGATTATTACCCCAGAACTGGTATCAGTGCATCCCTAGTTAATATGTAGTAAAATGAGGAGAATTCAGTTCGAACAACTCTTCCTTTAACCCCACAGGGTCAGGTGGAGATTGAAGACCAGGTGGAGGGGCTGCAGTATGTGGCAGACAAGTTTAACTTTGTGGATCTGAGTCGCATCGCCATCCACGGCTGGTCGTACGGAGGCTTCCTGTCTCTTATGGGCCTCATCCAGCGACCCAACATTTTCAAGGTTAGAAACCCTTTTTATCATTAAACCACACAAACATGAGCGAGGCTCCTCTGCTGTCACCTTTACACAGAAACAAGGAAACTAGTGTTTGTATCGATATAGACCGCCTAACAGGTGAAGTATTCATTTATAAAACAAAAATTGTTCTGCAGTTCCTGTTACTGCCACGTGGTGGCTGTGTTGGACAACCTTTGAGTCAGAACTTAGTCTTGTTCATGTGTTCCTGTACCAGAGAGGTTAGTTTTACACTTTTTATCTTCTGTAGCTGAAAAAAATGGATTTTAATGAAAACTGCAGAAAGAAACCATCAGATTCACTTTTAGAGTCATTCCACTTTAAGGTGGCTGCCACAGCTAACTCACCTGAAAATAAAACACAATTGTCTATAGTTCAGTCAGTTTTATTACTATTGTGCTAAAATCTGGTGTGGTAGTAGCTGAGAATAATTAACAACACACATATGAGTGCTGCTCATTGCACAAGGAACTTTGCTTAAATTTTAAACTCAACCTGGTTTGTCTGTCAGCAACATGTTGACAAGTTTTAACAAAACTCAGAAAGGAGTCATTGGATGAACATCTACAACTCGTCAGCTTTTGGAGGCAACCCACATCCAGTTGCCTCCACAACTACCGTAATTTACAGACACACCTGAATGTAAGTCATGCCCACTAAATTTAAAACTTTTTTTTTCTTTTTCCACATATATCGGCTGCATTTGTGTATAAACCACAGGCGTCCATGTTGTAACATGAGATATTTACACTGAAAGATTTTTTAAAACTTTTAATTAAATTTGTACCGGTAACGTATACAAATTTGTACAGTAAATGTTTTTTCTGAACAGTGCCAGGAACATGGCTGGTAAAAAAAACAAACCCATACAGTAGTCTACCAGGAAGTCATTGAACATTCCTCCAGTGCACCTGAGCTTGTGCTGTCCTCTTCATCACACAGCTGCCTTTGAAACCTGATGGTGATAGTTCTTCACCCTGCTCCTCTGTCAGGATCCACTGTCAGGATCCACTGTCAGGATCCACTGACAGGATCCACGGTCAGGATCCACTGACAGGATCCACGGTCAGGATCCACTGTCAGGATCCACGGTCAGGATCCACTGACACGATCCACTGACATGATCCACTGACATGATCCACTGTCAGGATCCACTGACAGACTTGAGCAGAAGTTGCTCTGTGCATGCAGACAGTTTTCTCACCGCCAGTCATCCAAGCCTCCACCGAGCTCAGAGTGCCACATTAATGCACGATTCACATTTGAGTGGCTGAAAATACTTTGTTGTGCCTGTAGGCACAACGAGGAGGGGAGGAGAGAAGGTGGTGAGGGGATGGGGGGGGGACAAAGTCACAGTCACAGTTTACACAGTGGACAAATAAACCAAGTTTCATTGGTCCACTGTGACCTGTTCGGTGATTTCATTGGTCAGATTTTTTTTTAACCTTTATTTATACAGGTAGTCTCACTGAGTTACGAGGACCCCCCCCAAGAGAGACGTGTATTGGGCAGCTATGTGAGCGCCCGGGTGTGACGAGGCTGAATGTTTTGGCTGCATGAAGCTCGTTAGCCCATTAAACGCTAAATAAGAACATCTTTAAATTAGCTGCAGTATTGTGTAAGCTGCGATGTTCAAAGCGTGTGAACAAAGTAGCTGCTTATTTTCCAGACATTACTGTAACTGACATCAACCAACACATAGATGGCTCTAACTCAGTCAGCTCCAGAGATTGTGCAGTAATGTCTGCAGATGTCCAAGGACTGACCGAAGCAGTTACAACTCCCATCATTTCCAACCTACACTTCTGTTAATTAGCAGGGTATGCATAAAGGCTTTTAACTTTAATTTTAGCCAAACAAGTTTAGCTGAATAATAAAATGTAACAAACCGAAAATAATTTCAAGATATCTGAATCCTTTCTCCCATTTCAAATCATTTAGTTCCTCGTTTATTGTTTTCTGAGCTGCTTTCATTAAAATGACGCTGACGTTTTGACTGTGTGCCAGCTGGCGATAGCCGGCGCTCCGGTGACCGTGTGGATGGCCTACGACACGGGCTACACAGAGCGTTACATGGACGTGCCTGAGAACAACCAGCAGGGCTACGAGGAGGGATCTGTGGCGCTGCACGTGGACAAGCTGCCTAGCGAGTCAGTACACACACACACACACACACACATTCTGCCAACAGGCGCAGCTGTCTGCCTTCGTAGGACATGACATCGTGCATGTCTGGGCGCGTATCGTGCTTCACTCAGTGTGAACTGACTGCGTCGAGACAAGTCAGATTTCAAACGTTCGTAGAGATTTTACGTGTTCTACTTCAAGAACGTGAGGAATGTTTGTGCTGACATACAGAGGAGGGCAGTCTCTGGCTCCAGGGCCCCGTGTGGCCCTTTGGGCCCTCTGTAGCAGCTCTTTGTAGTTTAGAGAATAAATTGATGTTTTTTTGTATTCATAACAAAAAGGAAGGATTCTTTTGTTCATTATTATTTTTGCAGACACGAGGAGAAAACGTTCTGTCAGATCATGCTAGTTTGCTAGCCTGTTAGCATGTTAGCCTGTTAGCCGTTTCATTGTTCTCGCTTCCAGCCACAACGTGTGATCTCAGATTTTCAAACATCAGAAAACTAAAACTTTATGAAAACCTTTTAGGCAAGTTGCTGAGAAGTCGTGGTTTATCAATTAACTGATAACGTTTATTATAAGTCAAAGTTTATCTTTTAAATAAACATAATTAAAGTTAAAGTAAATAAAGGTTTCTATTTTTAGACTAGACCAGTTCAACATGTCAGTTAGATATTTAACAAGCTGACCTGCTTTTAGATTTTAACTAAGCTCTTTGTTATTTTAATGTAGAATGTTTAATTTTTCCACAAATAAAGAAATGAATGAAGAATGTTGCCTGCAAAGTTTTAATTTAGGAAAGAGAGTTAATGTTATAAAATGTGCTTTGTTTTTTGTCTAGTGTTGTTTTTTAATAAAGCCCCTAAGGAGATGTTTGCTGTGCACGAGACACCGTCAAGGTGTGCACAAGACACCATCAAGGTGTGCACGAGACACCATCAAGGTGTGCACGAGACACCGTCAAGGTGTGCACGAGACACCATCAAGGTGTGCACGAGACACTGTTCGTGTACACCAGATAGCTTAGCAAGCCCAGTGTCCTTAAACTGCCTGTTCAGGAGAATTTCTCTAGAAGATTACAAATCCAGCCTCCTGAAAACATTCAGTGATTCTAATAATTCAAATCCCCAAACTCAAAGATGAGCTCAGTCGATTACTGAAGTTGGGCGACTGGACAAATATATCGATCGTCTGTGATTGGAGGAGTCCCTCAGACTTTCAGGTGAGCTAGTTTAAATTTTACTCAAGAGTTTTGACGTGCATTAAGGTTGGAAAACACTGACGCCATGACTGAGAGTAAACGTGTTGAGGTGTGACCCCCTCGTGATCCTTACTCATCAGGACAATAAGTTGATCAAACAGATTGTTCCTGCAGATATAAGCTTTTAAAAATATTGTGTGCTGTGACGATAAAATGTGCTAGATTAGAAGTTAACCACACGTCTGCTCTCCCAGTTGTTCAGCTGGAGCTTTTAATATCAGCTCAGAGCTGGTTTCACAGAGCTGGTGCAGTTCTTGTTAAACACTTGGAGTCACTTCCTGTTTTTAAACCAAAGTAATTCATTCTCTGTGACTTTATTTCAGCTACAAACAGACTAGCTGCTTCCACAGTTGTCCATCGAGCCTCTCCTTAAAATAAATAAATAAATAAACAAACACGCTCAAAGACAAGTGGTGTTGATTGTTGGACTGATGATGACTAGGCCTGTCGCAATAAACAATAAATCAATTAATCTCATGATAAATGAAAATGATCGACCTCATGTTCATTTATTGGTTTTATCGTTTCTTGGTGTCTCTGAAGACACTGGACGATAAAAGGCTCAACTCCGGTGTTCTTCGCTGACCCCTCCCTTTCTCTTTTCTCGTTAAAATCTGTTTTAAACGTCCAGAATCATGTTTTTGGATCGTTAAAAGCAGCTAAGCTACGAGCTAAGCTAACAGGGCGACCTGGGGAAAAAATCTCCGTCTTGTCGAAGCTCCAAAATTCACGGTTGAAACCCGTGTCTTTGTGTAAAAAGTTGTTTTTCTCTGCAAAAAGAAGCTGAGGACTTGTTTACTGATTTTTTTATTAAAATCTTTGTGTGAAAAATGCTCAAACCACACCGAGCATCCGCCGTTTTGAGAACTGACGAAAGGAAGGAGAGATGGCCCATGTCACGTCACGGGGCCTCCCTCCCATTTTTCTTAAAGAGACACGCTGCTCGCTCCCTCACTATCCATCCTTCGGTTTCTCCCTCAAAGAAACTGGTCCAGATGACACGATTTAACTTATTTTTTTGTATTTTAGAATAATATTAAATTAAGTCGTATTAATTTATGCAACACTTAGAGTTGTGTTATTTGAAGCTCATCCCCTGAAGATCACAGCTCCAGCAGGTTTGCAGCTTTGGACCCACTGGATGTAGTGAGGGAGGGACCAGAATGGCTCTTTGTGTTGCAAATGTTGCAGACTCCTACACAGGCAGCAACAAGCAGGTTTTCATTTAGTCATGGTGCTCTGCAAACAAGATTGACATTTTAATAACAGTTATTAAAGTTTTACAGTAAGATTCATAAGCTGTCAGGGTACACAAAAGACTAGAATCAAACGTTTTAAGCCTTTAGGGCAGGGGTGCCCAAACTTTTTCCATGAAAGAGCCAAATTCAAAATCTATAGAGAGCTGCGGGCCAAATGCAATAATGTAACGCATGAAATGCAAATAAATCTTTAAGTAAAGTCCATTTATTTATTATACAGTTATTTATTCTTCCATTCGGTATCATGAACGTTACTGAACAGGTTGCATTGGTGGTGGTGGTGGTGGTGGTGGTTGGGGGTGGGGGGTCTGGGGTCCTCCCCCAGAGAATTTTGAATAAAGTAGATGTCATTTCCTGCATTCTGGTGTATTTTACAAAGGTTTATTACAGCAGATTACCATGAAACAAAACATGTAAACTCTGTTATTATTGAAATCTCTGCAAAGCTGCAGCTCTGCAGGTAAGAGACGTGCACTTCAGGACAAACTGAGGTCGCTGACTGGGCAGTTGCTGACATACCTACTGGACTGATTGACAGGTGGAGTGACTCCTGCAAAAAGTTATAGATTTACTGGCCCGTTTGAGACTCTTGTCATTTATTCCATATTTATTCAGGTCTCTCTTGTAAATGAGTCCTCGAGGCTCAGTGGGATTAAATGAATGAATTCAACATTTATTCAATATTTTGGTGAATCTAAGGTTTGAGAACTGTTTCCTTACAAAATCCTAATGATGGTTTCTTAATTTTTCAGAGATGCTGAGTTAAAATTTAGGGGTGCTCAAGAAAGGTGTGTGACGGGCACCTCCATGATGCTCGGCTTTGTCAAAGGAAATGTTGTTCAGCAGCAAGAAACTGCAGAGAGACAGTATGGAGTCTGTCTAAATAAAATATAAATTATTAAAATTTAAAAAAATGAATGCACAAATTAGTCACTCCAGCTGTGTAGTGTCTTTCCAGTAGTCATTGGGCCAACTTTCCATCTAACATTAAACTTGGAATGACTGAGTGTAAACACACTGATTCTTCAAAGGAAATGTTCATATAGTAATGAGGACCGCTTGGCGGACCAACTTTGGGCACCCCTGCTTTAGGGAATCACGTGACATGTTCGATCAATGCTTTCTTTGGACCAGTTAGGACTTACCTAGTGTTGGGGGTGGTGGAGGGCATCTTTGAATGTCTGACTACTCTGCAGCTTACTGCTCTTCACTAAATGTTATTCTACCATGTAACTCTTGCCTTGCAGGCCCAATCGGTTGCTTATTCTCCACGGCTTTCTAGATGAGAATGTGCACTTTTTCCACACCAACTTCCTGGTGTCGCAGATAATCCGTGCTGGAAAGCCTTACCAGCTTCAGGTTAGTGTCAGAAATCTGTTTTTATGTTTTTAAACAATACTTTGAACATTTGGAAGTGGGTTTCTCTGGAAAGGTAAACACGGTTAGGATGGGGCGGCTGTGGCTGAGTGGTTCGAGCAGTTGACCTCCAATGCAAGAGTTGAGGGTTCAATTCCACCAGCAGTCACATGCTGAAGCGTCCCTCAACACACTGAACCCCTCATTGCCTCCAACATGTGTCCCATCGGTGTATGCATAAAGCACTGATAATTTTTTGTATGGATCTAGTAGAGTGCTGTATGAATGGGTAAATGAGGGCACACATTGTGTCTTGATAAGATAGAAAGGAGCTACAAGTACAGTCCATTTACCGTTTAGCTTAGGATCTTACTGTAGGTCGCTTCCTGAGCAGCTTCAGTTTGGGGGGCGTTTACGTCCAACAAGAAACGATGAACATAATTTGTAACTAGAGAAATTGCATTTCCAGCAAAAATGCAGTGTGAATGCCTAATGCAGAAGAACTTCTGAAAAAACATTTTTTGCTCAGACTGAAAAAAGTTAAAATGAGTGCAAAAAAATGTGGAATTAGCTGAAAAAGCTAAAATTAGCATAAAACAGCTAAATAGTAGTTGAAATAGCAGACATAGCTGAAGCTTACCTAAATAAGCTGAAAGGAGCATAACAAGCTGAAAATTAGCAGAAACAAGTTAGAAGAAGCACAAAAATGTAGTTAGCAGAAAGAATCAGAAAAAAATCGCAAAACAGATGAAAGTAGCTGAAAAGTTTAAATTTACATAAGGGAGCTGAAAGAAGCTGAAGCAGAACAAAATGTGAAATGAGCAGCAAAAGGTTGTAAACATATCTAAAGATTTGAAGAATGGAAAATTCATTTTCTATGAGAAAAAAATGGCAGAAAATACTAAATATTTCAAAAAGCTAAAGCTGCACCAATACCAAAAGTCAGAGCAGGACTGTCCTGAAAGAGCCGAATGTGTTGTTTTATGATTTGTTGAAATAGCACCAAAATTGTGGAACGAGAAAGATGCTGAAAAACATACATAAGTAAAATGGATCACAATGGAGTAAATGCTTCATGAACATTCAGACTAATTGATTTTCAGACAGTAATTGATTTTCAGACAGTAATTAATTTTCAGACAGTAATTAATTTTCAGACAGTAATTAATTTTCAGACAGTAATTAATTTTCAGACAGTAATTAATTTTCAGACAGTAATTGATTTTCAGACGGTAATTGATTTTCAGACGGTAATTGATTTTCAGACAGTAATTGATTTTCAGACAGTAATTGATTTTCAGACCGTAATTAATTTTCAGACCGTAATTAATTTTCAGACAGTAATTAATTTTCAGACAGTAATTGATTTTCAGACAGTAATTGATTTTCAGACCGTAATTGATTTTCAGACCGTAATTAATTTTCAGACAGTAATTAATTTTCAGACAGTAATTGATTTTCAGACAGTAATTGATTTTCAGACGGTAATTGATTTTCAGACA